ACAAAAGATATTGTATGCACTGTACACAATATATGTATATTTCTTCTGTTAGATTTCGAATAGCGTACTGCGCATGGCAATATTTTCATACTCTTACAGCGCGTGCGTTGAGAGTTGCCCGTGTTTGTCGTTTAAATTTTATTTATTAATTAATTACTGAACTAAAAATCTAAGTATATATTATGATACTCAAAGTCTTTAAATGTAATATTCGACAATTTTTTTTATACAGATATTAATTTCACGCTAATAATTTTGGAACTCATTTGTGACATGCTTACACAGTATCACAAAAGTTAGACATTACCTTTGGTAGCTTCATAGCCTGAGAACCACCCGAAGATGAACCCTGTTCCTCTCTTTCTGGAGTAACCATCGTATAAATAACAAACAGAACTTAAAATAAATAAAGTATGAAAGATATTGTATGCACTGTACAATACATATTTTTTCTGTTTGAATTCGAATAGCGTACGGTGCATGGCAATATTTTCTCACTCCTACAGCGCATGCGTTGAAGTTATCCGCGTTTGTCTACTTTAATAAATGTCTACTTAAACTAATACGTGGCTGACGGATCATGAAAATTCTCGTAAATATGTACTATACAGGTTGTCCCAGCTAACTATGGCATCTCAAATATCTCACTTGTTTTTCATGATAGAAAAAAATGTTAGAAGAAAAAGTTAGTGTATCCGATGGGGCACATATTCTGATTGGTAAAAAGTTTTGCTCAAGGTCATTTTTTCGAGATTACAAGGTCATTTGAAGGTCGTAGTGTCATAGGTCAATGAACTCGCCTTGCCCTCAGCTATCATCGTATGATAACAAAAATATATGGTTCCATTTAAAAAAACACCGATGACCTTGTAATCTCGAAAAAATGACCTTGAGCAAAACTTTTTACCAATCAGAATATGTGCCCCATCGGATACACTAACTTTTTCTTCTAACATTTTTTTCTATCATGAAAAACAAGCGAGATATTTCAGATGCCAGAGTTAGCTGGGACACCCTGTATAATAAAACTATTGGATCGCAATATGTTAATAG